CTTACATGACCCCTGGAACTGCTTTACATGCACTTCATGAGAAATTCAGGGTCATCAACTATTTGCCCATTACTCTCTCTCTCTTAAAAACATGTAATGTTAGCTTTTCCGTTTTTTTAAAGATAGAATTGAATCAATGTAAGAGTTTTGTAATGGACCTATTTAACACTGGCTGATGTACTGAAACTATAAACCTTGCTGCTGTTTGTTCTTTTTGCTTCCAGACTTGTTCATTGAGAGGTTTTGTATGACCGGGGGGAGCAGTCCCATTGGCTACCTGAAGGCCTGGCACACTAACCTCTACCTCTCTGCTGACTCGGAGAAGGTCAGGGAGGCGCTTGCTGAAGGTGAGCAAACACATGCATGCACATATGAGGAACACAACGTCTTATTATCTAAACAGCAAAAACAAAAAAAGACTCCCTGGTGATCATGAGTAATAACATAAAAAACAAGGTTTTAACCTCTTTTCTCAGTAAAATTTGATGCTTAGAAGGGGTATTTTTGTGATATACAATCATATATATATATATATATTTAGGCTATACATCATGAATCATCAACTTCTAACCAACTTTCTTTACTCTAAAAAAATAAATTACGTGTTGTAGTTAAGAAAGAACAAATGCATCAAGAAGCTTGAATATTTCTGAGATAAGATGTGTCTCATTTATTCAATGTAACAATGCTGATGAAAGGCAGTCCATTCAGTTTCTTCTTTGATCGTTTCTATTTTAAAAAAAACTTAGAGGTCCATAACAGTGGTGCAGGGGAATACACACGTTAAAATATTGTATTTTTTGATCATGTCTTGAATTTCGACTGTGATTAGTTACATTTGCTTTAATTAATACACATTAAGGCATATCATCTGCATAAAAAAAGTTAAAGGAGGGACTCATCATTTACAGTGTGCAGTATGTCTAAACAGGGATCTGTTTGACCAACAAGACTTAAACCAGCTTAGTGTCGCTTCTCTAATGCCAATTAAATGTTCCAGTCTCAGCGGAGGATTTCATGGTCAACAGCAGATCCTGGAGTGTGCCTGTGTAGTCCATGTCCTCCCTCAGCATGGCCACTTAGCTAGCCATACAACCCTGACCACTTATGTAACAGATCTATCAACTGGCAATTCATTTTGCCAATTAGAATAGTTTTTTTTATTGAAGGTTCAGCTGTAATGGAATATTTTTTAAAAGTCTTGTAAAAGTTTTGGGTGGGCAGTTATGTTTCCAAATGAACTCAAATTCATACTATGGAATAAAACTTGCAAACACACTAGCTATAGTAACATAACCATAAACCAGCATGTTAAACCAGAAATAACATTATTTTAGCTGTGCATGTGGCTCTAAATGTTTATTTAAAACACTGACCACTCCCTGCAAAAGACGTGAAAGATGTTAAAGTTCTCTGCTGTCCAAAAGGTGCAAACTAAATATACTAACATTAAATTTGTGGGAATTGACTTGACCACTGCTTCCGCTTCTGATCTTTGAAGATGTACATTTCATAAAGAATTACAGTACTTTAAAAAAAGGTTTTAAGAAAGTAGGCCTACATGCAGTAATAGAGGAGACCCAGTCCAGACAGATAAAGCTAAATCCAAAAGAAGCCCCAAAAGGATCCTGAAATAGAGTCAAAATTAAGTTTATTTAATGAAAAACAAGATTGGTTTGATTGGCACAGAAAGTTATTTTTTCTACATGATTTAGGTAAAGAGAATTACATTTTGTATGTCTTGGGTCATACCATTTGTGTGTAAAAGGAGGTCTGAGGGAAAACGAACTGGAGTGCTGATTGTTCATTGTGTGAGCTCGTAACTCTCAAGGTAACTTCATGGACTTTTTTCATGTGACTTACACACTAAAAGCCCTCCCCTACGCATAAACTCTCACACACACAAACTCACACACACAGAGTCAAGCGAAGGCACTGCCCTTGACATTTTCTTTATTTGCTGTAAATCCATTTGTTAATGCATCCTTAAGCGGAAGGCTTACATGTATCTCTTCTGAGAGTGTTTATTTACCTCAGCTTTGTTACAACATTGACGGAAACATTTGTAATTTTTGCTTTTTTAAGCAGAAAGTTTTGTCTTAACTTGATGTGATGGTTTTACTTTAATGTGTGTGTTAACTTGTTTTTGATCCAACCTGCATAAGATCATATGAAAGTTTCCTTCAAGTGTCCTGACCTTAACCCTAAAAGCAAGTTGAGGTGATGTAAGGTGACTTGATCAAAAGAAAACTAGTTTTACTGCATGGCATGTTTGGCTCTAGTTGATTCTTATTCAGTACCTATTATAATCTGCTGGATTAAAGGTATCTTTAGGTTAATTAAGTTGAATTCATATGTATGTTTTGGGGCAAAAAGATGATCTGCCTCATCTGCTTAGTGATTGTCTGATGGTATAAAACATCCATCAGTTTAACTTAAATGAAGTAGAGAGAAGCACAGTAAAAGGCAAGACAGGAGTTTTGTACAAACCAAAGGACTGAAACGTTGTGAATGGAAATCAAATTTGTACAACTGTCGCTTGTTTAAACAATTTCGTTTAAATAGGCACCACCGCCAAACACATACATGCACTCACAAACATTCAACCCAATGCTTTTGCCCTTCATTGATCACTTACATAACCCTTCATATGGCCCTTAGTGGCCACCGCAACCCAACCAGCATTGCCACCGTCACTCAAAAGACCAAGGCTCCATTCATGGGAGCTCCAGATATTGACAGTGCAGCTACTATCTACCCTGCCACATAACTCCTGATGGCCCCCCCGACAACCAGACCATGAAGCTAGACGGGCAGTGAGAGCCAACACATCAAGGGGGTTATCAAGTGGGCACCTTCCTTAACTAGTATTTCGACTGATACTAGTATGAGGTGTTAGTAGTAGTTATATGTTATGAAGGAAGAGAGATGCTCACAAGAAATGCCCGAGTGAGAAGCTTGTTTTTGCCAGAGCTCACCCCTTCCGGGTAAAGTCTGACTTATACTTCTGCATCGGATCTACGCCATAGGTACAAAGAACGTGCACCCCCTTCAAAAATGTGACCGCTAATGAAACAACACAACTGCAAGCCCTGTGGTTTGACCGCTGCGTAGCATCATATTTCATGCATTTACATAATTTCCGGCATCACCTCCAACTCTTGCAAGTCGCCATGGTTTCCTTTACATAAACAAGCAGAGAATGTGGCAGAACCGAAAACTGACAATACAACAAGCATAGAAATGGGACTGCCAACTAGCGTTTGTAGGCAGAGTATTGCAACGCTACACATGAAAAGCACAAGTATGTAGTGCTCACAGCAGCATAGGCCACTGTGATATGGATTCGATGCAGAAGTATATACTCGGCGTAAGGCTGTACACTCTCCCCTTCTCGTGAGGGAACAGAGGAGAGAAGAGAAAAAAAAAGCCCCCAACTAATATTATTTCTCCTCATCTAAATCCAATGACTTGTTTTAACTGCTTCATCTGACATCTCCTCCCACTCCCAGTTCTCCTAGCAATGAGCTACTTGACTATGCCGTGAACGTCTGCATCCCATTTCTACTGGACAAACCAGATTTAAACTAAACATATATAATGACCTATAACCGGGAAGAATAGCTGAGCTCTTGGGTACAGCTGATGGGGATCCTGACAAATGAACAAATATCCTGTTTGAATAATACAACTTATTGTTATTGATGTCTCTGTGTTTGTTTTTAGGCATCGCAGCAGCTACCATGTTCTTGCCAGAAAAGCAGTCAGAGGTATCACAGTCGCAGCTGAGGGTAGCATTTGATGGTGATGCCGTCCTCTTTTCTGATGAATCTGAGCGCATCTTTAAGGCCCATGGGCTGGACAAGTTCTTTGAACATGAGAGGGACAATGAAGACACACTGCTTGATCATGTAAGTAGTTTATTGGAGTAATGTTTGAGCATTTTCTTTTGCTACATAAAGTTAAAGTGCTCCCCTATAACTATTTATGCTAAAAAACATGAAATTATTTCTCTATACACCAGAAAAGATCATATTTTACTGTCATTTGTGATTATAAAGAACGGAAAGCCTCTAACCTGCTGCTGTCACACCACAATTTCCAAGTTTGGGATCAATAAAGTATCCATCTAGCTATCTATCTAACAGAAATTGAGGACACTTAATATGGATGAGCTTTAAACTGTCATCTTCTTTAAAGCCTTGCATTGCTATTACCATGCAGCCCCCCACATTAAAATGATTATGCAGATGCTCTTGATATTTATAATCCATTGAGTATCTGATATTTCTATGAATCTATAATGTGAAATTACATTAATGGTTTCAAATGGCATTGGGATTTAAACAGTCTGTTTTATTCATTTATTTATCAGTTTATTTGTCTGGGACAATAGGCAACGTTGCAGTTCATTAACGTGCAACCGATGCAATGTATACAGGACTTCTAGCCACGGCTCATTTGCAGTCCTTGTCCTTGGTTAGGCATTTAGTGTGTTAGTTATTCTTTCATTATCAGTGAGCTGCTATTTCAATACAAGTATTCATGTCCAAGAAAAACAATATATAAACAAAACAACAGCACCGTCTCTGCTTTACTTCACAGGGTCCACTTAAGGGCTTCCTGGAGGCACTGGGGAAGCTCCAGAAAAAGTTTTATGCAAAAGGCCAGCGCCTAGACTGTCCCATCCGAACATACTTGGTCACAGCTCGTAGCGCAGCCAGCTCTGGGATCCGGGCACTGAAGACACTCAGGGCCTGGGGCTTGGAGATTGATGAAGCCTTGTTTCTCGCTGGAGCACCCAAGGGCCCCATGCTGGAGAAGATAAGGCCCCACATTTACTTTGATGATCAGATGTTTCATGTGGAAGGAGCAGCTGAGATGGGAACCATTGCTGCCCATGTGCCCTATGGCATTGCACAGAAACATAATGCAAAACAAAACGCCAGTGCTGGCAAGTAGACATGGGGACTTTAGATGCTGTTGGCCCAGTGTGAGACGAACTATGGGACGGAGAAACATTTAAGAGAAGAGCAAAGGGAGGTTTCAGAGAGCTTGAAAGGCTGAAACTGAATTGTATGTGAAATACGTCACTACTGCATTGTAGCAAATTTTTTTTGTAAGTATTTATCAAAATGCAGACTGTCTAAGCTTATTGCTGAGATGAGGAGTTGGTCAAATTGAGGTCTGGAACCTGAGATGACCTGGATGCAAAGTATCCCAGCTTTACTCTTCATAGGGTCATTCAACTAAATAAAAAAGTGTTTTATCAAATATAGCTTTATACAGACATTGTGAAGGATTCTGTCATTACTAATTGTCCTGATAATGGAGAGACCTCCATGACCACCATCAGAAGCATCAAAAGAAAGTAGAGATATTATAGGTCAAAAAGGATTGTGAAATAATGAAGCACATGAAGAGTCATGATTTTAAAATGAATTATTTTGCACAGTTAGACTTCACAAGAATGTAAAATTGTTTGTTTGCAGCTATACAAAATGTGTCGTATTCAGAATATTTACTTGACATTGTATCCACCACTGTGTAAGTCCTAGACAAGAAAGCCATACAATTCATTTGGTGCCTTAGTATCAATGAACACACTGATATTAGTCACGTTAGTGGCAATTTGGTTGGTGTTTTACATTTTTTCCAGAGGGAAGTATCTGTTAGTGATAGTGTGCTTTAAGGTACAGACACAGTTGGACTGGGAACAAACATTGGCCCCAGCTGTTTATAAGACCATGCATAGGCTTTGCTCTTTCAGGCAAAAATACAACCTCATTCCTATAAAGCTGGAGCCCTGTTTACAAAACTCTGAAATCCCATATTTGCCTTTTAATAGCACAAAGACCACCATGTCAATTCAAGGCTTGATGCAAGGACTACTTGTCGCGGTTGAAGTCTGCAAAATACGTCACAAGATGAATGTTTTTTAACATAAATTTGCCAAACGTTCTTGGGATGTCATCGTCCAAAGTTCATGATATTATTAAAAGATTCAGAGAATCTAAATAAATCCCTCTATGTAGACCACAAGGCCCAAAAACAATGTTGGGTGGCTGTGATCTTCAGGCTCTCAAGTTGGCCCTACATTAAAAACATTAGAAACGATTCTGTTGTGGGCATCACTGTTTGCGCTCAGGAGCACTTCCAAATCCATTGTCACAAATGGGAGCTAAAAATCTATCATGCAAAGAGGAAACAGTATTAAAACCAGATCCAGAATGCCACCAACTACTATGTTCCAGACTTATTTAAAATGGAAAGAGGCAAAGTGGAAAACCGTCCTACATCAAGCAAAACTGCAACAACATTTCACATTACAGAAATTGGTCCCCTCGCTCCCAAAACATATAAAAATAGTTGTTAAATAAAACAGTGATGCTCTGAATGTGTAAGGACGCATTCTCTGGCTTCTCACTGGGGTTGGTGAATGAATCACCTAAGTGCAGAGTCAGGTATGTTTGTGGCTGATTGGCCTTGATTAAAGCCAGGTGTGAGTTTTAAGGCCTCCCAAGGCAGCCTTTACTTTTGTGAATTGTTTCTGGGTCTCCCGGACAATTTAGTTTCGAGTCAGCTGATTGGCAGCAGTGGTTTAGTTAATAATTCTCGGTGCATTAGTTAGAAGGGTGTTTTGGCTCTATATTGTTTCATTGTTCCCTACACCCCCCCTCCAATCTATCGCTTGGTTATCCTTCTTGGATAACTTTAAGACACCCTTGGGTCCGCACCCGTTTTCCTGACAGAATGGTCAGCATGTCTTGTGTTTTCTTTCTACCATGGTCAATCAAATATGGGGTTTCAATGTTTTGCAAATCATGAGATACTGTTTTCTTTTTACACAACGTGCCAACTCTTTATGAATTGGAGTTCTATTTTTTTTGCCCAATAACTGGAAAGTAAAAGAAGAAGAAATCCATTCAATTAAATGTCAGCCTGGTCGCTAATGTAAAGCATTTCAATTGTGCAGGTAATTTAAGTAAAGACACAAGTTTTTGATAACACATCACACTCAAAATGCAGCCAGCTTGGTTTTACTGCCCTCTCCTGCACATGGAGGCTAGTTACACAAAACCACATAGATTTGGTCCTTGACTGACATTTGCCCTGAAATGATGGTGAGTTTTTGGAGGATAAGGATTTAGCTCCATAGAACTTCAGAGTGACATTTACGACTAGATGCTTGCACACAGAGTAATGTTTGAACCTTATATGCAACCAATTACGATGAGTTTATTTACACTTAAAAAAGGTAATGCTACAAAATATTGTACAAAAAAGTGAATCCAGGTACTTCCTTTGCTCATTGACAGAAATAGCTTAGGATTCATTTATTTTTCTGTGATAAAACCTTTAAGATAAACCTAAAAGACATTTATGTGCACTCCTTCACTTTGCCATGGAGTGGCAGCACCTGAATGATAAATGACTTCAGCAACTTGTGTTCACTCACCATATTCAGTCTTCATTTGGGATGAAATACATTATGTTGGACATGTTTCACTTGAGATGATTATAAAACTTCACATGCACACATAAAAGTTATCTTAAAGCATATACAATGTTGTCTTAATATTCTTTCTTTATCTTTCATGTTCCCAATTTTTTATGTGACCAAATTTTTCCTCATCTTTTCCCAGTTAAGTCCGTTTTTTTTTTTCAATCTTCACATTGAGCAGAATCACATTACTACCCACACTCTCCCTACAAATATCTGTGATAAATGTCCAAATATTCTCTATCATTCCAAGTTGAATTGGATCTTCCCAGCAGAGCCTGGGTAATGAAAGCTAGCAAAGTGCCATCATCCGGGGATGGTCTATCTGGAGCCATATTGCTAACAACACCACAGGGACATGCCCTGCTGGTAAACACTGATGGATTGACATGCATGTGGATTTTATAAGCTCCAACCCATTGGGCTGAAGCTGCTGGCACATACAGAAGAGGGCAGAGGAACATAGATAAGATATGGCCAGCTGGAGAACTCTGCAAAGCCAAAGCATAGTTCATAATGACCCACATGCTTATGCTGCCAGCTGTATCCATAAACTGACAATACCCATCAGCATGAATAGAGAATAGTGAAAGAGAATGGCTGTGTGCTTTACAATGCCAAATTGAGACAGTGCCTGGGGACAGAAATGACCATAACAACCCACCACCCTGTATCTTAGTAGATAAACGTCAAAAGATATTCATGAGAAGATAAGACAAAAAACAATTTTGAATCAAAAACATTTTTCTTACCCACAATCATGAATGTGCAAAATTGAATCAAAAAAAGTGATGTTGAAAACTAATTACCCTTTTTGGAGTGAAAAGGGGATTTGTTTTTAGATTAGGGATACATCACACTGAGTATCATCAATGACCCAATGTGGGACATTACATAACAAACCATATGCTTGAATATAAGCTGTCTTACTGCCAGATGTGACCTACAGAATAGAGGCAGAGTCGGCCTTGTGGGAGTTGTCGGCATTTGTCAGTATCAGACAACACCAAAGTAGAGAATTACAGAAAAACAATGAAGATCTGGGTTTAAACAGATGAGAGAACGATGGAGAGGAAACAACACTTACCCCAGAGACACAGATAACAAGCATGTTTTTTTCCTTCTGCTCAGTTGCCGAGTGGAGTGACACTTTGAGGGAAAGGAAGGGTGACTCACTCTGTCTTGGAGAAGATGCTGGTCAGACTCAGAAGGAGTCCACAGCGGGGGACTTGACCACAACATGTTTTCAATCTGTCAAAGCATACTTCTTGTCTGCAGTATTCGCAAACACTGCTGGGTTTTAAGCATTTTAAATGTTCATTTTTGTGAAGGTTCTTCAAAGATCTAAATGTGGAATTAAAGCTGCAAGCAGCAATAGGCTCTTGCACCTTTGTGCGTGTCGGGCTGTTGTGCAGGCACGGGAAGTCTTCTGCTAGGTTGTGCTGCTTCTGCTACGGACACTGAAAGGTCAAAATGGCTCTGTATCGTCATGTTTTTTGGACACAACATCAAGTGAGAGCCCACAGTGTAAATTCTGTTAACTGAATGAAATTTGAGCATGCGTGTTAAGTTTGAATCTGTGTGGACCATTTATGTTTGAGTTACAGCAACTCCCTGTGGTATGGCGATGCGTCAGTCTTTGACTATCTGCCACAGCCACGACCTTTCAGTTTATGTAATGAACCAAACAAGCTTTCTTCATCCAGATCCTTTCCAGCGGTAAACTACATTTGAAGGGGATCAGGTAAACCCTCTGGGAAGAGTGTATATATAACACACACAAATGGCAAAAACTGGCTAGCCATGGCAACAGCTTTAGGAGTAAACTGAAGGGTTTCGTATTGAAGCATGGTGGAGGTTTGAGGATTAATCAAATTTGGGAGGGATTGGGCAAGTAGGCTAGGACTGATCTTATAGATAATAGTGATTGTATCCAAACAGTAGCTGGTTTCATATAACCACAGGACTCCTTTTTAATCAGCACCCCCTATACCTAAATGCTAAAGGGCACTATTGAGCAAATTTCCAACGCCAATGTCTGAGACACCTGATCTGATGCACAGCCAAGTGTCATGGGTTTTTTTTGGGGCATGTTGTGACACTCACAATTCCAGGTAAACATAAAACAATAATCATTTTCAGAATTACAATACAATTACTCACACTGTTTTGGTTTTTCATGCCCTCGTATTAAAACTTGAGGTTGAGATCGATGATTTTGAGTGTAATGTGTCGACCACTATTGGATGGAATTCCCATGAATGTTTTTGCTAATATTTAATGTCCCCTCAGGATGAATCATAATTACTTTGGTGCTCCCCCAGCTTCTCTTAAAGAAACACTTCCTTCAAGAAATCCCTAAAAACTCACCTCTTCAACACTGCCTACAACCACTCACACGCATCCTCCTCCCTTTACATTATTTCTTTGTTGCACTTTCCTCGTCATCTTTGTTGTTATTCCTTCTCAAAGTGTCTTTGAGTATCTAGAAAAGTGCTAAAGACTATTTTTATTATTATTATTATTATTATTATTATTATTATTAATAATAAACATCATCAGTTCAACTTATGAAACATGTCCAATAATGACATCGATCCCATCAGCCTGAGGTATACTTTGTGTGTTCAGTTCAGGATAGAGACTGAAATCAGCTACAGGAAGTGCTGGGTTAAAATCATTTAACTGAAGAAACTCTTGTCCACACCTCCTTGCCGCTGAGCTGGGCATCAGGCGGTGATTTGGACGACAGAGTCCGATGGTGGAGGCTGGGCGTCAGGTGGGGACGACATCTTCTACCCATCATTTATCAAGCAACCATCTCCAATAATACAACTTTCATGGAGGTAGCCACAGGCTGGAACTGTGTACTGACCTTTCAAAGTAAGTTCTGTGGAGTTGGAACTCGACATGATTGCCACTACAATGCCCTCTGTCTTTTCCTAAAACATTAAAAGTCCATAGCATTTAACTTTAACCACTTTAGTCAAACTAGGGACACGAGTTGGAAATTAGCAATAGCTATAAACATGCAGCACATCAATGTCATGCTTTGTATTGAAACTATGTTAAATTGCATTGTCTCTAAATTGAAATTGAAATGGAAATTCAATGAATAATTTCTGTTACTGAGCCGTGTGGCAAGCTGAGTCTTATTGATGTTGTTCAAAATAAAAATTCCAATCTAACAATTTTAACACAGGGTTGTTTCTCCTCTTCTATTAAACATGATTACTATTACTTACTATAGTTTTTCAACATCTATATCACTTGCATTTATCAAACTTAAACACCTCTAACACCAGTGCTTAATTTGCCCGCTGTTCCGGCAGGGCAGGAGGTGACTAAAGTCACAGAATACATCAAAAATGCACGGAGCATCTGGCACACCAGAGCATTCTCAAAAATCATTCATTCAAAGAACTGAGAAACAAGCAATACATGTAAATATAAGTAAACATGTGTAAAACAAATAAACAAGCTGAATGTTATTATTGAACGGGAATAAAAAGTTGAACATCAAGAATATGGCCTTAAAACACTGAATTGTCCTCGTCAGTTATGTTCTTTAAAGTTTCTACAAGAGCACCTTGTCTCCCTTGGTTGGTATCCATAGCTACAGATTAAGGCTGTCCCCCGAGTAAGATGAAAGAAGAAATGGGAACATAAAAGTTGCAGTGTGTATGCATGTTTGCATGTGTGTGTGTGTGTGTGTGTGTGTGCGTGTGTGTGTGTGTGTGTGTGCGTGTGTGTGTGTGTGTGTGTGTGTGTGTGTGCGTGTGTGTGCGTGTGCGTGTGTGTGCGTGTGCGCGTGCGCACGTGTGCGTGTGTGTGTGTGTGCGCATGTGTGTTAACAAAAAGATCCATGGATTGGCCTTTACAAAATCTATTTTGTTACAAACACACTTTGACTTTGTTCCCATGGTTACCTTGTTCATGATGTTAAAAGGTGGAGAGAAAGAAAAAAGGGGAAAACAATGGAGGGAGCAAAACACAGAAGAGAAGGTAACGAGATAGAAAGAAGATAAAGGAATGAAAGTCAGAGATGATGAAAGGATCTCAGAGCCACTAAGTTTACATATTTTTCCTTTTTTACACTAAATATTAAGGAACATGTGGGACTGCAAGGTCACATCTTAACATACAACATAGAGCTTACAAGAGAAGTATCATATGAAAAGTGTACACACACACACACACACACACACACACACACACACACACACACACACACACACGCACAGCTATCCAGAGGAAACACTTTACTGAAAGCGTGGTGACGCATGATGCGAAGCACTGACAGATCTTCAGAGATAGAGGGGATAGAAGTGTGGGCAATGAGAGGTGTTGACGGGATGAAGGACCGATGGATGGTTGGAGGGGGAAATAGCATGAGGATGTCTGGCAGAAATGTTTCTGCTTCACAGGGCATCATCTGATAGATTGATTTTCTCCTCAAGCAATATATGAGCAGAGTTTAGCCATAGTTTGGTTCAACCATGTCCAAGTCCACTCCTCAGTTCTACCATGTAAACTGAGCTAGATATAAAGCTCACATGCAAGGTTTCAGATGGATTTAAGACTGGCTAATACAAAAATCCTCTCCTTTCTTATTAAATCTGTTTTAGTCAAGGACTAGAGTAAAGAAGACTAACATACTGACTACTTGTTTGAATTTCACATAGGCGTTTCAAATCATTCCATGTCAGTTTACATGCAATGTGAAGCTACAAGCTGACTAAAGAGCGCTAACATAAGCCTGCTAACACAAGCCTGCTTACACAACATCCCCCAACATGCAGGCCACAAGCAATTGCAGCATAAGCAAAGGACCACTTTGTCTGCCGCTTGTGCCTGACTCCTTCATGTGAACGCATCGCTGGAAGAGAGCGGATGCGCAGCAGTTGGTTTTGGTTTCATGCTGGTGCTAAAGGGCGACATCTACTGGATCAAAAAGTTACACACTTATTATATTCTTGCAACTTAAAACAATGATTTTAATGTTAATAGTGTCCAGAAAAAGTGGGACATAAGCCACTTTTAGAAATA